ATGTAGAGATTGGCAACAATAGAGAGTTTAACTTTATGACAGCTTGCCAATCTTCACAAAAACAAGGCAATTTCAATTGAATTGATCACTGTTTTTGATTAACTAATATAGAAAAATGAGCCACATGAAAAGACCATGAAGCTCCAAATGGAAAAATGAAATTTCACTATGAGACTTTCAGAAGATAAGGAGCAACGGAATTACCAAGTTATCCAGCTCCTAAAGCGCAGCTAGAAAACACACAACATTTGCTAAAATAGCCTTGAATATCTTACAAGGTAGAGGGTTGCCCATCTTCCACTGGTCATGTGACAAACAGAACAAATTCTCAACCAGCTATGTGGTAGAGACCAACAGGATCAATGACAAGGATCTTTGCAACTCCCCAGATTTCACAAGGGTGGCAAAAGAGCATACAAAAATTCTATTCAAGTGACAAGTCTAAACAAGTGCAGACTATCAGAAAGACCAAGTTTCAAAACAAGGTCTTAAGAACATGGCGGACAAGATTAATTTCCTGAATCTACACAAGGTATGAAGGCAGGAAACAAGGACAATCCGATTACCATCTCATTAAAATGGGTTAGAAAATTCAGGTAACACGAATCAGAATCGTCCCTTATATAACCCCATCACTCGTCTCACCACGGTACTAAAATCCACTGGCTAGCCAAGTCCAAAACAAATCCTAGGTATTCAATTAAATCTAAACTCTAATACCACTCAATCTGCTCTAATGCCACTCAATCTGGAGGTGCTTAATTTAATCCTCAGCTCTTAATTTCAACCTAAGCTCTTAATCTCAACCTAAGCTCTGATACCACTAAATCTGCCACGCCCCAAAACCCAAATTCGAGGTGCAACAGACGCCATGCACTCGTGAGACGAGTCCCACAAATGCACAAGGCTCAAAACTTATCATATCACAATCTGATACCACCAAAATTTGAAGATCAAATTATAAAATTCTCTCTGATATCATAAAATCTCCAAATACAAGATCATGATTCATATCTAAAATTTATATCCAATTACAATATGGCTAGCCTTCTAACTTGTCACTTCCCGTGATTTCCCCGTCTTCGATTTCACTTCCTGAAATGGTGGACAAGGAAAAACTATGAGATAAACTCAGTAAGTAAATATGGAGTGCCCATTATTAAACTTATATTATGCCAACATGTGCAATCACGAAAAACGGATACAATACGAGAACGAAATAGACATCTCCTCTATAGGTCATGGCCAGCGTCTAACACCCACTGGCAGGCGCACTGTTTGCTGGTGTATAATCCCCACAAGCAGGGTCACTATTTGCTGGTGTATAATCCCCACAAGCAGG